ACCTAGATGTGGGTCAGAATACTTAGCAAACTCTCCACTAGAAATGATAAGTTTTTGTTAGCTGTCCACTGTCAGCTAAAGAACAATACTGTCTTAATTTTGCCATATACTGCCTTTGCTGGTGCTATTTTTTTACAATGAAGCAACAGCCTTGCAGCAAAATAAAAAATTTAATAAAACATTCAACATTTTTAAAAAAAAGGAGGAGACAAGGCTATCGAGTTGGATCAGAAACCAAATCCCACCTTGTCCATTCATTTTCTCTGGAAACTAATTCCCATAATTGTGGGCTTTTAGAGAAGTTAGTTGAGCTAGCTGCACCCTCATTTCTTCCCCTATAGAGTGAGGATTCCCCTTCCCATCTGAGTAACAATGGGTGCCATTTACTGTCACAAATGTGCACAAATCACTACCTGAGTATGTCACATGAGGTTTCAGCATCAATGCAGTTTTATAAAGGAGGTAACTGAGGCACAGAAAGATTAGATAGTATGTCCAAAGTTATAAATCAAATAAACCTGGTAGATAAGGATGAAGCCGGATCTCTGGAATTCAGAGCTTCAGCGTTCATAATCACTATGTCCCACCTGCCTTTGAAGTGAGAGCTCACATATTTAGGGCACTTGGCACAGTGCTTGGATCCCTGCAGAAGTAAGTATTCTGTCTACTCTATTTGTTCCCCAAAGTAATTGAAAACAAAAAGGGAAAGGCTAGAAAAAAGATAGTGTCTGTGAGAGTCAGAAACGACAAAGGACCAGATCCCTTAATAGTGCTTTACTAGCCAGTACAGTCAGTACTGAAAGTTTAAGATTTATGCTATAATTGTAGCAATCAAGATTTCCAGCTCTCTTTCTGACATATGATAAGACTGCCCTCAGACCTTCCTAGGTTGTGCTGGGCAACTTCCTAATTCTGGGTGCTAAGTTGGATCAATTATGGACTGGAGTTTTCAACTGATGGCTTAACATCCTCCACTGTTCCTTCTCCTGCAACAGCAACCCATTTGTAGACTTATTTACAATAAGCAGACTTCTTCAGCAGACTTGAGAGGAACATGCTGTGTGACTAAGAAAGAGACCCAGTAGTTGACAAAGTAAGCCAGTGATCTTTCATGAGATAACAGAAGTCTATCACTTACACTAATACAAACAAGAGTTTCACTTTGGCCTACTCAGTGGATATGCTGGTGAGAGAGAAAAAAAGTATTTATTTACCTAAGGTCTTCCCTACTCCAAGACTAAGGCGAACATGTGGTAGTTTTAGGTGACTCTTGATTCGCTCGATCATGGTGGCCAAGGAGACAGACTCATCCAGTGTACACACCCGGCCCATTCCGGTATGGAGAAGCAGAGGCTGAAGAGAAAGCACAGTCACAAATGCTGTTGGAGAATATGCACCAAATGCTGACGGATCATACATGCACTGTGAGTGGCAGGCTAATGGCTGGGGAGGCAAACCTGACAAAAATTTTCTCTGAAGGCTGACATATAAATGACTAATCTCAAACAAAGCGCTTTAACACAAGGAAGGCACAATTACTATGGTAGCACAGAGAAATGACCAAATAAATGAGCTAAGATTCGGGGGGTTGGAGAGACTAAAGGAACTGGGGATCAAAGGTTTCACAAGGACTGGCACAGCCCATCGAAAGCAATGCCACTAGCCAAAAGACTGCGACGGCACTGTGAATCTACCAGGCACTCTGTGCAAGAAAGATGCACAATCTCCCCCTGGACAATGTATAGTCTCCAAGAACCTGCTACAGGGTAGCTATGAGTTGGTTCCAACTCAACAGCAACGAATTTAACTTTTTTAACTTGAGGGTCTTGAATCACATAGGAGTTCAAAACAGAATGACATTAATGTAGTGTGGTAGGGTAGAAATAGGGCAAGAATGTGAAAAGCATTTTATGCAGACCAGCAGCCAGGAAATCAAGACATATTGCAATGGGAAAGCCTGATGTTAGGGACCTCTCCAAAGTACTGAAGAGCGATGGTGTCTCTATGGAGACCAAGGAGCACCTGATACAGTCCATGGTCTTTGCAATCACTTGTTATGCATCAGAGAACTGGACAATGACTAGGAATGATAGGAGGAGAATTGATGCCTTTGAGCTGTAGTGCTAGAGAAGAGTATTGAATATACTGTGGACTGCTAAATGAACAGGTTCATTCTGGAGAGGGTTAGATGAGGCTGCTCCTTGGAGGCAAGGATTCTGAAGCTTTGTCTGACATACTTTGGACATGTTGCAAGGAGGGACCAATCCTTGGAGAGATATGTCATGCTTGGGACAGTGGAGGGACAGCACAGGAGAGGAAGAAGACCCTTGATGAGGTGGATTGATTCAGTGACTGGGTTAATTAGAGTAGGTGTGTCAGAGGCAGTGAGATTGGCACAGGCTAGAGAAGGGTTTAGGGCTGTTGTACAAAGGGTCACTATGAGTCGCAGGCGACTTGATGGTACATAACAACAACAACAACAACATGTACAAAGGAGGCAGAGGTGTTGGGAGTACAGTAGAAGAATGGGTTCAAAGATGACAGCATGGCTGGACGCCAAGGGTGTGACTAGGGAGAGCAGCGAGAGGCCCAGGCTGCAGCCAGATCCTGGAGGGCTTGGTATATGGTGCAAAACAGCCTGAGTGTCTCCTACAGTGTTAAGAGAGAGAATTTTCCAAGGAAGGGAAGATGATTTCAGCTAGTGAGAAATGAGGCACATTGTAATAGATCTAGAGACATAATTAGGAGAGCTTTGATTTCCTCTCTGACACTGCTCCCAGGGAATCACCAGCTAGGTGGCTAAAGGACTTGGTGGGAGCCTCTGGTTTCTTCATATTCAATCTGTGCAAATAAACTGAAAATTCAGATCACCTTTTCATTAAACACTGAACAGCTTTAAACAAGGAGAGAACATTATCCTATGTTTACCTAATGTCTTTTAAAAGAATGTTACTAAAAAGTAATGTTGGTTAGACTTGCAGGAGAAACATTATAGAAGCTTAAAAAATTAGGTAGATGATTATGCCACCAATCAAACAGAAAATATAAAAAGAAAATATTTAAAGGCCAGGGAGAGGGTCTAAACAATGAAGTCAATTTTTCAATATATTGGATTTGAGATTCTTGTGAGATATTTAAGTAGAAAATGTCCATAAAATAGTTGGAAACGGGTTTGTTTGCATTATAAGAACATTCTGAACCACAGGGTAAATACACAGATCTATATGGTTGCCAAGTTAAAGGAATGAATAGAAAAGTCCACGCAGAGGGTCCAAGACAAACATGCAAGTCTGCAAGCCTGAAGAAAGACCACCACTTCCTATTCCTGCATGTCTCCTTCCCTCCATATGTTTTCTGAGGCTTATTATGCCTTCCTTCTGCTTCTTAGCTAATAACAATGGCCTGTTGGCCTAACAATTTACAAGTGAATTTACTAAACAAAAATGTACAGTAATTTAAGAGGTAACAGATTTTTTTTTACCTTCTCTAGAGAGAGAATTTCGGTCTTCTGATAAAGTTGTCTGTGTTGGGAGAGAAAAGCCACCACTTGAAGCAGACCCTCCTGGGTACAATTCAGACTGATCCGCGTGTGTTCTTCATCACCAAACCTAGGGGGTGAAATTCCGCCTTGCTTTATGATAGATACAAAGAAAGTATGTTTTACATAATCCAGATTATAAACCTACTATCACAGGAATTAGGTTTATACAAAGCTAGAGATTTGCAACAAAATTCACTCAATCACAAACTAATTGTCTTCGGCTCAGAACTTACTCACAGTTGACCCTTCACTAGACTTCTGAGGCTGTAAATCCCACTGGAGCAGATTGCTCACCTTTCTCCCTTGACGTGTTAATGAATATGAACCACCAGAGAGGCCTGGACTTCAGCTTAACAGCACAACTCCCTATGAACTAAGGCACCAGGACTCCTATTTCTAGAACAGTGCTTGATTCTCAAACATTTAATATGAAAGTCTTGGGAAACTTTCAAGAATGAAGATTCTCAGGCAAATGCTATTCTAATTAGATAGGTCAAGAATGAAGCCAAAACCTACACTTCTAATAAGCACTCAGTTAAGAACTACATGGGAGTCTCCCAAGAAGCAGTGATGGAGAGACTCTCTGAAAGGACAGGTATCAAAATCATTTAACCATGGAACTCCTGAGTCTACAGCCCTTACTCACTCTTGAAACCTGGCATAAAACTCACTCCAGTGGCTCAAGTTTCAGCCAAACAACCTAAAAGGTGAACAGCGATACCTAAGAGCACTCACTCCTTGGAATAACCAACCATACAAGGGCAATAGGACAGAATCTGCCCAAGGATAAAGCCAAGCATGCAGGGAAGGACAGGACAAAAGTATGAGTGGACAGGAGAAGCACAGTAAAGAGGTAGGAAGAGTGTGCTGTGGGAAACAGAATTAATGTTATCAAATGAAATGTGTGTATCTGTCAATTTTGTTATGTTGACGTTCCATTAGCAGTACATCTCTTCCATTCGTTTTTGTATGCTTTATATGCAAATGAAAAATATATTTCATAAAACCAGGTATGAGGAAAAGAATTTGAAACCTAACTACCAAGATTACAGAATTTGTAAAGACCCTTTTAGAAAGAGAGGGGAGGTCTGGTGGTGTAGTCAGTAGGGAGGTGCACCGCTCACTCAAAGGCCGTGCCCTCTCTAGTGGTTCAAATCCACAAGGGCTCCTCGGAGAAAGGCAACCAATCCCTCTGCGTGTGATTTACAGCCTTGCAAGCCTGCTGGAGGGTGGGCTATGAGTCGGTTCCAACTCGACAGCAATGAGCTTGACTTGTGAGTTTTCACACAAAGGAAAATATACCACACCTAGCAGAAAAAGAGGTGACAGAGACATCTGCCATCCCTTTCAATGCAGACATGACTTTCTCCAGGTCCTGGGAGTGACCGACGTTGAATTCTACTCGATGCGTTCCCTCTGTAGGGTAGCTGGCAGCTTTGGAAGGATTTATGGGGCGAGAAGTACAAGCTCCTAGAGTTATTAAAAAAAAAGTAAAAACATAGTTTTGTCAATTTGGGTTTTCCCCCCCTTAAGATAAAGATAAAACGTTCACTAGACATAAAAGATTCACTGTACTTAGCAACACCTTTTTTTTTAAATTTCTGTATCATTTACAAGGTTGTACAATATAAGCTGATATAAGTCTTTTGCAGTGCAAGAGAATAAATGTTTATAAATGCATTTTTTAAAAATGTAAGGTAAAAAAAATGTAAGGTAAACTGTTATGGACAAAATTTGTTTTAAGAATGTCATTTGCTTATGTACTAATATACATCCTGACAGATAAATATCCACTAATAATCTGCATATTCTAGGGATATGTATGAATATATGAAATGAAATATATTTTCAAAAAGGATCTATAATATAAAAAACAATAAGAAAAAAGAATGACTCATGGAATTTTAAATTATATACAGAATTGTTTATTGCTGGCTTGCTACATCAACTCATGTAAACCATGATTCAGGCTGTAAAGGCTCATAATGTGTTTGGTCACATTAATACAGAACACATCATCATAAAAGCTTCTGGGGAAAAAAATGAATAAATGAAAAAAAAGTTTCTTCAAATCAAGTTAGAGGAAAAAAAGAATCAAATTAGAACACAAATGCTGAATTTCCTCACTGTGTTGGATGTGTATTCAGTAAGACTCTAACATCTATTTAATTGCCATAGGAAACATATTTTGGAGGCTTCAGCTTTCAATGCAAATTAAGAAGCATTTTTAAAGTGCCTAGGCTTTAGGCACCTTACCACATGAATGAGAAATTACCAGCACTCAAGACTTGCAATGCTTTCCTTATTCACTACAGAGGAAAAAAGTTTCACTTTTCAAATGCAACTTAATTATAAATTTTAGCAGCACCCTTTTATCAAACAATTTTAAAATACATTATGTAAACATAGAATAATGCCCTTCACCACCACCCACTTCCAACTAAAGTGGTTCAAAGCTTCCCAGAAAGATATTCTCAGTTTTCAAATTATTTGCACAGATTGAATGTGAAGACCCAGAGGCTCTCACCAAGCCCTTTGGCCAGCCAGTTGTTGACTCCCTGCGGGGCAGCATCATAGGCCGTGTGAGGAGAGTAGATACCGACTCTGTTCTCCAGAGCCCGGATCACCAGGCGCTCCTTCCAGGTTTTCCAGGTTATGCGTTTCATGGGTCGGAAAATGGGCGGATGGTAGGAGAGAATGAGATCGGCCTTCTTTTGCAGTGCCTCCTCCATCACTTCTTCGGTCAAGTCATTGGTCAGGAAAAGTGTGTTTACAGTGTGTGGTGGACTGGGCTCTACCAGTAACCCAACATTGTCCCAACTCTCAGCAAAGGAGAGGGGTGCAAAGTCATTAAAGGACGAAAGGAGAGTTTTCAAATCCATGAAGGAACGGGAAGAAGTACAGACCAGGGAATGGACGACTGGGACCTTCCTGGACACGAGTCGGAAACCAGATGACAACATACAGAAATCAGGTAAAGCGGAGTGTCTGATAGGACAAAACAAAGCACAATAAGACATGGACACATTAGGCCTAGGCCTCTTGAGGCAGTAAAGCACATGAGCTGCATGCAGTCAGACAGACCTCAGGTCAGGTACACTGGCCCGGCCACTTACCAGTTAAACAGTTCTTGGGCAAGTCCTCTCCTAGCTTTTTCTTTCATCTGCAAAATGGGGATATATAACCTCCCTCACAAGCCAATGGAGAACTAAATGAGTCAATATGTTGATTCATATGTTAATAATAAAACAATTAGCATAGTATATAATACACAAATGTTTGGCAGCCCCCCTACTTTTGCTCTCCTCACCCCTGCCCTCAAGCACCCTTTTCCACTTCCCTAAGTATTTTCTTCCAAGTCCACTTCAACTTCCAACATAAAACTTTTCCTAACAAGTCTTCCTTTTCAGTTCTTCTCTTCTGTACTCTCAATGTTATATTCCTGTTGGCTCCTCCGGTATTGCTAATGCTACCTGAAAGAAAAATCTGTGTGCTAAGTCACAGTCTTCCCTATGTGTCATTTTAGACTGACAGTCTCCTTCTCCCTTAAAGAATTTACTGTTGAGGTGGTATATACTGGCAAAGGGCTTTACCAAGTAATACTGGGTAAAAAATAGAGAAGTTCAAAACAACTAAGATACCATTTCATCACAGTAACAATAGCAAAATCCAGCAGAGCAGCAAACAACAAATGCTGAAGAGGTTGTGGAAAAACTGACCCTTATTCACTGTTGGTGGGAATGTAAGATGGTGCAACCACTCTGGAAGGTAGTATGGCACTTTCTCAAAAAGTTGCAAATAGAAATACCATTTGACCCAGCAATTCCACTACTCTAAAGAAACCAGAACTGGGGGGAGGGATGGGTGGGGAGAGAAGTGCAGCAATGAATGAATGGAAATCCAAAATCTCTGTAAATGCTCATTAAAATTATTTTAAAAAAAACCAAAAACCAGAACGGCTACCCAAGCAGACATATGCACACTCATGTTTATTGCTGCTTTGTTCACAATAGTAAAGAGTTAGAAACAACCCATCAACAAACGAATGGCTAGAGAAGCTATGGTATATTCACACAATGGAATATTGTGCAGCACTGAAAAACAATGAACTAATGAAATATTCTACAAAATGGGTGACCACAGAGGACATTATTCTTAGTGAAATGTCTCAGTCACAAAAGGACAAATATTGCATAATGCCACTGTTTTAAAACACGATTGACATGGGAGTTGGGGGAAACTAAGAATAGAGGGGATAAATAATGTACATGGCATTTAAACAGATGAGGGAGAGAAGTGTATAGAAGGAATATATGATTAGGTATTATTGGCATGACGAGAGTCCAGAATAAGAGCTGCAGAGTAAAGTGGACTGGGGGTGGGGGGAGACTGTATTAACAATGAAAACTTTTTTTTTTCCTAAAGAGAAAAGCGAACTGGGGAAACAGGGGGTTAGGAAGGAAAATGTATTAACAACGAATGGATGGAAATCCAAGTTCTCTATAAACTTCCATTAAAATGTTGATTTTAAAAAAATAGAGATTTATTTAGCAACTAAAATCATGGGATATATTAATGTTTTGCTGCAAAAATATGAGCAGGGTCATGGTCTACAAAAAGTAGGAACTCTTGCCCCTGAACTACTAACACCTTCTACACACAGCCATACTCAGGAGATGGAACAGCTGAAGGTGTATGGTTCTGTTATTGATTTTGTACCCCTACACACCTCCCCAGAGTATGTTCAGTTTGGCCAGGCAATGATTCTGTTTTAAATGTAATGATATAACGTGGCAGTAATGTGATGATCTTTCATGATATAAACTCAAATAATAAAACAATCAATTATAAAATGATTAAGGGTATCATGTACCATCCTTAATCCCATCTCAGATCTAATACAACATAACAGGACCTTTCCCGAGTTGTAGCTGGTAACACCTTTTATCTTACTACAAGAGAAAGGAGAGAGAATTGAGAGGCTGAGGACAACTGCTGAGGACAGAGGAAAGGGAAGTGGAAATCTCAGTGCCACCAAAAAAGCAGAGCCGGGATCAGAAGTATCCTTTGAGGGGAGCTCTGGTGGCCTAGTGGAAAGAAGCTGTACTGCAATCCCAAAGGTATATGGTTCGAATTCACCAGATGCTCTGCTGGAGAAGGAGGGACAATTTCCTCCTGTACCAGTCAGATCTGATTTGACAGTACATGCACAAAAAATAATAAAATAAAATTTTTAAAAAAATTTATTAAAAAAAAGTATCCTTTGGATCCTGCTTTCTGCATGGTGAATATTTAGTATTCAAGAAAAGATTGATGCCAAGACAAATCCACCAGATGCTCTGCCGGGAAAGGAGGGACAATCTCCTCCTGTACCAGTCAGATCTGATTTGACGGTACACTCACACACACACACACACAAAAAATAATAAAAAAATTAAAAAAAAAAAAAGATTGATGCCAAAATACATGGTTATCTCCAAGTCACCAACCCTACAGATGCTGCTAGGAGACAGGCCCCTTCTCAAGAACCAACAGAGAAAATTATCCCCTAAAATCAACATCTTCAATTCAGACTTTTAGGCCCCCAAACCACTGGAATATATTTGTTTATTAAAAGCATCCGTTTGCCATATTTCTGTTGTAGTAGCACTAGATAAAAAGGCAAGTTCCTAGGCTCTGGTCATCTAGCTGCAAGAAGATGTGCTGCAATCCCAAAGGCACATGGTTCAAATCCTTGAATCCACCAGATGCTCCTCTGGAGAAGGGCGATCTCCTCCCAAGCAACTTACAGCCTCTGAAAACCAGCTATGGGCTGGTTCAGACTCAACCACCTTGCAACATCTCTAAGGTCTGTAAGCCTTCGACACACCTACATCTAACAGAAACTAGAAAGGCTGTCCAAAGAAAAAAGAATGGTGGAGGACTAACATAAAAATGTGGAGCTGGAAAAAAAAAAAAAAAAAAAAAAAAAAATGTGGAGCTGGAAAAATATGTGCTAGCTCTAAAATATGAGTAAATAAAATTAAAATCAGTAAACGTTTAGCCTGTCGAAATATCAGGCCTATTCTTAAGTTTGTTGCTGCTATTAAGTGCTATCAGGTCAGTCTAGACACGTGACAACCCAATTTAACAAGATGAAAATGTTCTTTTTAAGTTTGTTGTTGTGGCTGTTGGGTACCATGGAGTCTACTACAATTCATATGGACCCTATGAACAATGGATCAGAACCTTGCTTTATCCTAGGCCATCCTCACATCTACAGGAAACTTGAGGCTACTGTTGCAAGTCCCTTGTTGAGGGTTTTGGGTTTTTTCTCTTCTTTAAAAATTTATTATTAATTTCAATGAAAATTTACATAGACTTTCGATTTCCATTCATTCATTGTTGCACTTTTCTCCCCTCCCAACTCTCCTACTCTCTTGGAAAAGTAAAAGAAAAATTCTTTCATTGTTTTACAAAACCTTCCCCAGGTCCACTCCACTATACAGCCTTTGCTCTGGACTCCCATCATGACAAAAATACCTAATCACATATCCCTTTTAAACAGTTTTCTCCCTCATCTGTTTCAATGCAGTATACATTATTGAACCCATCTTCCTCAGTCTCCGCGCAACCCCAAGGTGAGTCCTATTTTACAACAGTGGCACCATGCAGTATTTGTCATTTTGTGACTGAAAATACTTCACTCAGCATAATTTCCTCCAGGATCACCCATTTTGCATAATACTACATGAGTTCCTTGTTTTTCAATGCAGCATAGTATTCCATTGTGTGAATATACCAGAGTTTCTCTATCCATTCGTTTGCTGATAGACGCTTGGGTTGTTTCCAACTCCTTGTTATTGTGAACAAAGCCGCGATAAACATGGTTGTTCATATATCTGCTTGGATGTCAGTTATGGTCTCTTTAGGGTATATTCCCAATAGTGGAATTGATAGGTCAAATGGTATCTCTATTTGCAACTTTTTGGGAAAGCGCCATACTGCCTTCCACAGTGGTTGCACCATTTTACACTCCCACCAACAGTGAATAAGGGTTCCAGTCTCTCCACAACTTCGCCAGCATTTTTACTTGCTGTTCTGTTAAATTTTGCTATTCTGACTGGGGTTAGATGAGATCTCATAGTTGCTTTACTTATTTTTTTTTCTCTTTTGCTGACCAACTTTCACAACATTATGTTTTCCCCTCAAGGACTAACATAGTTGCTGTTGTTATTAAGTGCCAGAGTCATAGGTGACTCACAGCAACCCTATGAAAGACCTGAACACTTTTATAACTTTCATTTCTCCAAGTTCATAGAGTTTCCAGAGGCAAGTTATTTAGTACTCACAAAAATTTTTAGGGCTTTTTTTCTCTCAGAAAAGTGCACAATCATTAACCAGTATGCATTTAAAACAAAAACAAACATTGCCTGTCTAGTTGTTTCTAAAACCCAGAAGAAAAAGTAAAACTGCCCCATAGAGTTTCCAAGGTTGTAATCCTTATGGAAGCCAACTGACACATCTTTCGCCCATGGTTGTTTTTATGTGCCATCAAGTCACCTGCGACTCATAGTGACCCTATGTACAAAAGCCCTAAACCCTGCTGTATCCTGTGCCAATCTTACTGTCTCCAACACACCTATACTCATTACCCTAGTCACTGAATCAATTTGAGGGTCTTCCTTTCCTGTGCTATCCATCCACCCTCTCAAGCATGATGTCCCTTTCCAAGGATTGGTTCTTCCTTGCAATATGTCCCAAGTATGTCAGACGAAGCTTCGGAATCCTTGCCTTCAAGGAGCAACCTGATTTAACTCTTTCGTTAAATCTCGAACAGAACCTGTTCGTTTTCTTAGCAGTCCATGGTATATTCAATATTCTTCTCCAACGCCACAGTTCAAAGGTATAGATTCTGATAGAATCCCTAGTCATTGTTCGCCCATGGAGCAGCTAGTAAATTCTGTTAGTAGGTTAGCAGCCGAGTAATCATTGTGCCAACCAGGGTCCTTTTAACATGAAATCACAACCCAGTGACATTCAGAACGCAATTATTTCAAGCAAGCCCTTCCCCATCCTATATGCTTTCAAAAATTTAACCTTGGGATTAAAATACTTAGTACCTACATGCGGGCAGTTTTCAGTATGGTTTGAAGCAATGTGTTATTCCATTTCATAACAGCTCTATGCAAAACAAAACACTGTCCAGTCCCGAACCACCCTCACGTGTAATCTCTGAGACCATTGTCGCAAACACTCCTTAACAGAACTGAACTGGGGGGGGGGGGGAGGCCTCCAAAAACCTGGAAGATCTTCTAAAAATCCTGTTACCATTATATAAATCCCAGATTATTCTAAATCCAGAAAAACGTAAATGCGAAGATCCCAATGCTTCCGGCAGTTTTCAAAATTCGAGTCCTACTACTCACCGGCTCTAGATCCGTCCTCTCTGACGTCATTTCCGGTGCTGCGCGGAAGGTTCTCGGATTGTGGGACCGGGCGCAGGTGGTTCGTTTCGTTTAGGGCTCACATAAAGCTTCTTATGCTATTGTAATTCTTAATAGTGCTCCCATTTTCCTACAAGAGAATTCTCTAGCTCCGTATTTAGTTGATTGTGAGCCAGGGAGGCGGAGGACTGGGGCGGGAATTGAGGAAGTTAAGGTGTCTTCGCTAATGGGCCCGGCGTCCAACTTCCGGTAGTGCAGAGACCCTTTTAACTTGCAGCCCTTCTTGGGCGAACGTCACCGCTTATTTTCTGCTTTATAGCCCAGCTGTATTTAACCCATTGATTAAGTAAGTATAGACGATGTCATTATTCTTTTGATTTACATATTTATATGCCTGGTGAATGCTAGCCACTACCAAAAAGCAAACTTGGAACTCCCTGCTGTCAAGTTGCTTTCAGAGTGACTCGCCCTGCATTTCAACGGCAACAGAGAGGAGGGAACTGCAGGTGGAACCTCCTGAGAGTTGCCTTTGGCTTTGCAGCTCAAAGGGCTATGCCATCAAGACACAGGCTCGACTTAGGTCTTGGGATGATTTTGCGTGAATGTTCGGTTTGGGGGTATAGTTGGAAAGACACAATAAGGAAAAGTTCTAAATAGATGTTAGGAAACTCTGGTGGCATAGGCCCCAGGGAGCTCGGCTGCTTACCAGGCAATCTGTGGGAGAAAGACAAGTCTCCATGCAATTTACAGGCTTGGTAACTGGGTGAAATATCAGCTAAGAGTCAGTACCAATTAGACAATTTGAAAGCAGTGAGTTGGGATAGTCTGCGATCGATAATTGTGATGAAGCCCTTTGTCGGTGGGAGGGAGTGTGCCTCACTTGGAAGATCCTCGAGGAAATTCTTGAAGATGGCGTGAAAAGAACTGGGCGATGAAGTGCCCACAGTAGGCTTTTCATGTCTGCCAGATTTGTTTTATGTGGAGAATGCTATTCAAGGCTTTTTATTTTATTATTTTGTGTGTGTACCGTCAAATCGGATCTGACTGGCACAGGAGATTGCCTCTCCTCCATCAGTTGGATTCAAACCGCGTGCGTCTGGGATTGCAGTGCACCTTCTTGCCATTAGGCCACAAGAGCTTCCTTTCAAAGTTTTTTCATGTAAATATACACTAAAGATGAGCATATGTGAGTATAAGTGGGAGAATAAATTTTTTTTGTCTTTTATAAACAGACTAATTTTCTTAGAAGCACCGTGAGAAATTAAGAAACAATACTTCTTGAAACAATAAGAATGGTAAGTTTTAAAGAATTCCTATGAATGCCAATAATTACAAGTAAGTTTAGAAATTCAGTCAAGGAAAATAAAACAGCATGAAAAGTTCAACACCAGGTTAGAGAAATGATTAGGTATAGAAGCTTGTATTGTAGTTTTTATGTGTTGTCAAGTCAGAACTGACTCATAGCTGACTCTCCAGCACGTTTTCAGAGATAGTAAATTGCAAGAGTGCCTGTCATTCTCTTTCAGAGCAGGTAATGGATTGGAACCATATTCCTTTGATTAGTAGCACAGCTCTTTACCACTAGATCGTGTGAACAAAAATCTATAATGTTTTTCACTTAAAATACACAAAACTTGCCTCTTATGCAAAAAGGCTACAAAGTACAGAAAGGAAAAGTTTTGAGAGTATAACCAAGTGTGGCAATTTTAATTGGATCCTTCTGCTTTGTATCTAAAGTAGGCAACCTGTAGGAGAAAATATAAAATGAACATAATGTCCTACTCCCTCACCCCACGCCCTTTTCTCCCTCTTACATCTGAATTCTCTCCTGTTACTATGAGAAGAGGAAAAGAAAGCCTTAAAATAGTTTCCCCCTCCAGAATGAGATAACAAAGGAGTAACCAAAGCAACTGTACTAAATCTTATTTATATTGTAAATCTTATTTATATTGTATTTTGTTCTGTACATACATACCTATGGTACAGTTCAGTTTCTAATTGTGTACAAAAGCAATTATCAACAATTTTAATGGGTGGAGATAATGTACAGTGTGTCTGTGATTCACATCCTGAGCAGGATGGTGTGCTGTTTCTTTATACGCGTCATTGAACATTTCAGACTGCAGTTGATAGGCAACTGAAACCATAGAAAACCAAGTTATGGATAAGGAGGAGCTACTGTATATCTTTCAGTCTGTTTTTACTCAGATTGTTTTGCCAAGTGAAAGGCAAAGTGGTTCAAATCCACCAGGTGCCCCATGGCAAAAAGATGGACAGTTTACTTCCATGTGATTTACAACCTCTGAAAACAGGCTAAAGGGTCAGCTATGAGTTGGTTCTGACTCCATGGCAATAAACAAGAACAAATGTATATCTTTCAGTATGCTTTTTATTCAGATGACTTTTTAAAATTTTTTACTATTATTATTAATTTTAATGAAAGTTTACAGAGACTGGATTTCCATTCAGTCATTGTTGCACTTTTCTCCTGCCCACCGCTCCCCACCCCCAGTTCACTCTTCTCTTTAAAAAGTAAAAGAAAAATTCTTTCATTGTTATTAAATCCCTCCCTCAAAGTCCATTCTACTATGCAGCCTTTGTTCTGGACACCTGCCATGACAATAATACCTAATCATATATTAAAAGGATTTTATCAGAAGGAGTACACAGAGTCACTGTATCAGAAGAAATTGGCTGACACAGAAGAATTTCAAGAAATAACATATGAGCAAGAGCCTATGGTGATGAAGGAGGAAATTCAAGTTGCTCTGAAGAAATTGGCAAAAAACAAGGCTCCAGGAGTTGACAGCATACCAATTGAATTCTTTCAATAAACAGATGCTTCCCTGGATGTGCTCACTAAGTTGTGGCAAGAAATCTGGAGGATAGCCAGCTGGCCAACTGACTAGAAAAAAATCGATATTTGTTCCCATTCCAAAGAAAGGTGAACCAACAGAGTGTAGAAATTATCAAACAATATTATTAATATCACATGCAAGCAAGATTCTGCTGAAAATTATTCAAAAACATTTGGAACAGTATGTCAACAGAGAACTGCCAGATGTGCAGGCTGGATTTAGAAGAGGTTGTGGTATTAGGGATATTATAGCTAATGTTAGATGGATCTTGGCAGAAAGCAGAGAATACCAGAAGAATGCCTATCTGTGCTTCATTGACTATGCAAAAGCTTTTGACTGTGTGGATCACAATAAGCTATGGCTGACTCAGAGAAGAATGGGAATTCCAGAACATTTGATTATGCTAATGCGAAACCTTTCCAATCTGTATGCAGAACAGATCATCCAAGATTCTGGGCTGTACGAGGAGGAATGTGGCATCAGGATTGGTGGAAGAGTCATCAACAGCCTGCGTTATGCAGATGACACAACCCTGCTTGCTGAAACTGAGGAGGACCTGAAGCACTTGCTGCAGAACATCAAGGACTGCAGCCTTCAATATGGACTGAAACTCAACATCAAGAAAACAAAGATTCTCACCACTGGGCCAATTGGAAGCATCAGCATGGATGATGAGGAGATTGAGATAGTTAACAGTTTTAGTTTACTTGGTTCCACAGTCAGCACTCTTGGTAGCAGCAGCCAGGAAATCAAGAGACAAATTGCATTGTGAAAGTCAGCTGTGAGGGACCTCAAAGAGTACTGTTTGCAACGATGTCAGGCTGGAGACTAAGGTGTGCCTGATCCGGGCTATAGTCTTCACAATTATGTGCTATGCATTGGAGAGTTGAACAGTGAATGGGGATGATAGAAAGAGAATTGATGCTTTTGAGCTGTGGTGCTGGAGAAGAGTGTTGAATATACCATGGACTGCTAGGAGAACAAACAGGTTTGTCCTGGAGAGGGTGAAGCTGGAATGCTCCTTGGAGTCAAGAATTTTGAAGCTTTGCCTGACATACTTTGGGCATGTTGCAAGGAGGGACTGGTTCTTGGAGAGGGACATCATGTTTGGGAGAGTGGAGAGACGGCATAGGAGAGGAAGACCCTTGATGAGAAGGATCGATTCTGTGATTGGGGTGGTGGGAATGAGTGTGTTTGAGAAGGTAAGGTTGACACAAGATAGAACGGCGTTTAGGGCTCTTGTAGATAGGGTCACTATGAATTGCAAGCAACTCAGTGGCACATGACAACAACAACAACATATCCTTTTTAAACCGTTCTCTCCCTCATCTGTTTCAGTGCAGTATACATAATTTTTCCCATCTTTCTCAGTCTCTCCCCTCCCCGACTCTGATGTCAGTCCTGTTTTACAGCAGTGGCACTATGCAGTATTTGTCCTTTTGTGACTGTTTCACTCAGCATAATGTCCTCCAGGGTCATTCATTTTGTATAATATTTCATGAGTTCCTTGTTTTCTAGTGCTGTGTAGTATTCCATTGTGTGAATATACCACAGCTTCTCTATCCATTTTTTTGTTGATGGGCACTTAGGTTGTTTCCAGCTCTCTGCTGTTGTGAACAAAGCCACAATAAACATGGGTGTGCGTATATCTGCTTGGGTGCCAGTTCTGGTTTCTTTGGGGTATATTCCCAGTAGTGGAATTGCTGGGTCAAATGGTATTTCTGTTTGCAACTTTTTGAGAAAGCGCCATACAGCCTTCCATCGTGGTTGCACCATCAGATGTCTCTTTTTCCTGTCCAGTCAGGGAAGTAATTTAGTGCATAAAGTAACTTGAAAAAAAAAAATCTTAACAGTGCAACAATGAATGAATGAAACCCCAAAATCTCTGTAAATGTTCATTAAAACTAATAAAATTTAATAAAAAAAAAGAAAAAAATATTATTCTCTAATTGTCTTTCCCTTTTATTTAGTCTGTGACACTGCATACAGATGTAGGTGATATTAAAATAGAAGTCTTCTGTGAGAGGACGCCCAGAACCTGTGAAGTGAGTGCCATGATTTAAATATTTTTTAGTTATTACAAGGGGAGAACCATTTTGAAATTGAATCACCAAACCCTAAAACAGTAAGAACAATATAACTTTCCTGTTAAATCTGTGGTTAGGAAGAGCAAGCCTTCATGTTACATGGCTCAGTTTCCTTTTCCTAATAGCAGAGGGAGATCAAAGAAAGGAGAGGCGATTTTTCTGTAACCATAGAGGAGGAGTCTCTGTATAGTGGAAAACGGTTAAGTGCTTTACTAGCTGAAAGATCAGAACCCACACAGTGTTCAGAAGACAGCCCTGGCCATCAGCTTCTCTGAATCTCACTGCCCTGAAGACCCTGTGGAATCAACTCAGTGGCAACTAACAGCCACCGTAGAATTGCTGGCATCTTGTTATTTTGACGATTTTTTCTCAAGAAAGGTAGACATTACAATATTAGGTAAGATTCTGTTTATTATTCCACTCATTTAAATTGCAAAGATAGAAGGTATAAGAGTCATTACATACACTCATTCCATGATTATTCATGATAGGCTGTCTTTTTAGGGTCTGGGGTACAGTGCATTCAGTAGTTATATACGAAAGGCCACCTTCCCAAAGTCTGGAGATACAGTGATGCGTAAGAAACATCCCTCACCTTTGTGAAAGACAACTGGCGGGGGCGGGGGGTGGTAATTTTAGAGGATATATTGCCTTGAAGGAAAGAAAGGGTTGGGTAGAGAATACTGAAGAAGAAACTAAGAGAAGCAAGTGAGGGTAAGCCTAGCCAAAAAAAGATTACTGGAAAAGTGACATATAGCCAGGGTCCTGTAGCTAATGAAGGCATCTTCGAAGAAAGAGATTAAAAACAAACCAAAAAATGTTTTACCTCCCACTTACCAGGATCTTAAAAGCTTACGAGCAATCATCTAAGGTAAATTTATTGGTCTCTTACTGTCTTGAGCAAGTAAGAGTGAAAAAAAGTAAAGACGTGGGAAAAATTAGTCCTGAGACTAGTGGATCTCATGAACTTCAACCTCCACAGTCCTAAGAGCAGAGGAACTGGATGGTGCCTGGCTTCCACTGCCCACTGCACTGAAACAATCACAAGGATGGTCCTGGATAGAGTAGGAAATAAATATGGAACAAAACTCAGTGTCATAAAAATTGTCACTGTTAAGAGACTGGTGGAGCCCCTGAGGTTGTGTTCTGTAGTCACCCTTTTAGCCTGGAACTGAACTGTGGCACACTTACAGGCAAACAATAAGACTAAAAGTCAGCTGTTTCACCAGACAGGTACTCAATCCTTAGAGCAATCCACTGTACAGGATTAAATGGGCCATATTTGCCCTAAGATAAAGCTCAGAGGGCAGCAAGGGAGAGAATAAAAGGATGAATGGAACCAACGATCACTGGAGTGGGGAGAGTGCTGGTACAATGTGGGGATTATAGTCCATTCTTACATCAGAATATGTGGAAAGCAAGTCTGCTCTATAAATGTCACTGTGTGAAAGTAAAAAAAAAAAGATATTTCCAGAGCAAAAAGAAGAAACAGTAACAATAAAGGCTCAGAGGTGGGAAGGCCTCCTTGGGTGTGTGAAATCTCAAGAGGCTGATGGGATTAATGCAGTAGGCATCAGGGAAAGGTGCATTAACACCTAAGAAGTAAAAATGCGTCCCTATTAAGGATTTTGTATTTGATCTCAAGAGCAATAAGAATCATTAAGTTGGACCCTCCAGTGCTTCAGGAGGAGATTGCACATCTTTCTCCTGTGGAACAGCTGGTAGATTTGAACTATGAACCTTTGAGTCGGCAGCACAACTCCTTACCACTAAGCCAACACGGCTCCCTTTTAAAATTTCTTTTTAATAAATAAAATTTACTTTCTCTTAAATGTGTTTCCAATAAATTGTTTCTCATTCATTTTTATTTCCAGAATTTCTTGGCTCTTTGTGCAAGTAATTACTACAATGGTTGTATATTTCATAGAAATATCAAGGGTTTTATGGTTCAAACAGGAGATCCAACAGGTAAATTATTCCTTTCATTAATATTAAGGAGGTTGTGTATATAGCATTAAGAAGAGGGTAAAATAAAAATATAACATGGGGTTTTTGTAATCAGATTACCTTACCATCATGAGAAAATGTTAAGAGACACTATTAGCATTTAGCCTTAAAACTAGCCCTTAAGTTTTAGAAAATATAAATAAAACCCACTTTAAAAAAATTTATTCCACTAAAAATAACAGGATTTTCATTTTTACTTTAAAGAAATATAGATGATGTTAGGATTAGAACCTATGAGATAGATAGCAGATAGCTGGAGTTATTCCCATCACCTTGGAGGGAGGCATTGTTTCCTTCTATATCTGCTCTGTTCTCATGGTAGGGCAGCTTGCCTGTTGGTCTGAGGGGTGAAAAGGCAGCTTTCTCTGATAAGAAGTTAACGTGTCTTATGGAAGTGAGGCCAAGCTGCTCTCTAGGGCTTGTTGTTTTTATGTGCCGTCGAGTTGCCTGTGACTCACAGCAACCCTATGTACAACAGCTCTAAACCCTGCTCTGTCCCTTGACAATCTTATTGTCTCCAACACACCCATCCTCAATACCCCAGTGACTGAATCAATCCATCTCACCGAGGGTCTTCCTCTCCTGCGCCATTCCTCCACTGTCTCAAACATGATGTCGCTCTCCAAGGACCAGTCTCTCCTTGCAACATGCCCAAAGTATGTCAGTATGATATTGAGCTTCAGTCCATATTGAAGGCTGCAGTCCTTGACCTTCTGCAGGGGTAATAGGTTTAAATAAGAGTCATTTAAATTTCTAACCTTATCCAGAGAGCATTTTTCAGCTTACATTAGATATTTTTTTTTCTCTTTATGTTATAGGTACTGGAAGAGGAGGTAATAGTATATGGGGAAAGAAGTTTGAGGATGAATACAGTGAATATCTTAAGGTATATCCCTAGCTTTTTACTAATACATTAGTTATACTTGGAAACTTTTCATAAGTTATGTTTTTTAATATAGTAACTCCATTAGAGATGAAATTGTGTGTTTATCTATATGTCTTTATTAGCTTTTTGAGGTTTTTGCATATTTGGTAAATGATAGGAGAATATGTAAATGGCTGAGTGTTTTTGCTTTTATGTGCAATATAGTTGTCTCCAAGTCATAGAGACCCTATCTGATCATATTCCATCTTCACAGTCTGTGCTGTGCTTAAGCCTACTGTTGTAGTTACTGTGTCGATCCATCTCATTGAGTCTCCCTGGCCTTTATGGCCCTCTTTTCAAACTTGATACCTTTTCCAAGGACTGGCCTCTCCTAACATCTTCCCCAAAGTATGTGAGATGAACTTTCACCATCCTTGTGTCTAAGGAGCATTCTGGCTGTTATTGTATTTATACTAAGGCATGTACAATGGAATCTCACCACCACATAGATCTTGGTATTAAATAAATTTTTATCTCTGGGAGTTGGGGCTAGGGATAGTTTTATATTTATTGTTTCATCATAAGAAATTGTTACTTTTGTTACAGGAGTTTGGATTGGGAGCTGACTGACTTTCTTAAAAGCCATCATTTCCGTTTTTGAATTAGAAACCAACTTTTTAGGTATGAATTCATGACTACTTCCATAACACTAAGGAACCCTAGTGGCGCTTTTGTTGTTAGGTGCCATCAGGTTGAGTATGACTCATAGCACCCCTATAAAAAACAGATCTGAACTTTGTCCTATCCTGCACCATCTTCACCATCTCTGACATACTTGCTCCACTGTTATAGTGACTATGTCAGTTCACCTTCCCGAAGGGCTTACTCTTTTTTGCCAACCTTCCTTCTTTCCAAACATGATGTCCTTTTGCAAAGACTGGCCCCTCATAATAATATGCCCACAGTATGTGAGGTGAAGCTTTGCTATCTTTACCTCCAAGGAACCCTCTGATTCTACTTTGTCCAAGATAAATTGTTTGTTCTCTTGGCAGACTGTGGGATATTCTATAGTCCTCTCCAACATCATAACTCAAAGGCATTCGTTCTGTCATCCTTAATCCTTGTTCATCTTTTAGGTGCATAACAAATAATTGAAAAAAACATGGATTGAATCAGGTGCACCTTTGTCTTTAAATTAACATCATTGCTCTTTAGCACTGTGGTGAGGTCCTTGACAGCAGATTTTCCCAGTGCAGTACATCCTCTGATCTCTTGACTGCTGGTAACAAAAAGTGTTGATTTTGGATCCATTGACAACTCTTTTTTCCACCTATCATAACATTGCCTATTGGCCCAGTGATAAGGATTTCTGTTTTCTTGATGTTGAGATATAATCTATATTGGAGCTGTATTCCTTGAACTTCTGCAGCAAGTGTTTTATGTCTTTACTTCTCCAAGCAAGGTTGTGTCTTCTGCATAATGCTGGTTGTTCATGAGTCTTCCTCTGATCCTGATGCCACATTCCTCTTCATGAAATTCCAAACTCTTGAAATACTTGCTCAATGTACAAATTGAATAGATACGGAGATAGGATACAGCACTGACACACACTTTTCTTGGTTTTCAACCATGAAATGTTCACAGGCTCTGTTCACACAGCTATCTCTTGGTTTAGGTATAGGTTTCGAATGAGCACAGTCGAGTGCTCAGGGATTACCATTCTTCTCAATGTTAGTCATAATTTGTTATGATCCGTGAGGCATTGTGTGAAACATACCAAGCTGCTTCAGGAACGATGATTGTTGTATACTGTTGAGTCAGACCACCCCATAGCTGACCCTTCAGTGAGTTTTCAGAGGCAGTAAATCACATGGAAAAAGATTGCCCATCCTTCTCCTGCAGAGCCGCTGGTAGATTTGAACCATATGCCTTTGGGATTGCTGCACAGCCTTTTACTACTAGTCTACCAGACCTGTTCTAATTCACTAGCTTCTACCAGCCACTCTGCAAAGATGGCCAATCTCCTTTTGTAAAAATCTACTGCATTGAACATTAAAACTTATTCTTGCCATTTTTCTGTAAGCGTAAAATTATCATCAAGTAAAAAAGGATTTATTTTTAATATTAAAAGATCCAACATTAAAAAAAATCTACTGCCTTGTAAACTCCATGGGTATGAGTCAGCACCAACCTGATAGCAGTAGGTTTGTTTTGGTTTTGAATTTTCATATCTGCCTACAGCAGCAGCCCTGTGTACAGTAGAGACTGTGAGTCTGGCCCAGGATCAAGCAAGGTTATGTGTGTTCATGGTTATACGTAGGGTTGCTATGAGTGGGAGCTGACCCAACAGCACCTAACAAGTTTGTCCTCTTATGCCAGTGGTTTTCAACTTGGCTGTTACATAGCCCTCTGAAAGTTTTACAAACATAGAAAATCAGGTCTTATAGTACCCTATTCTGTTCCCTACAAATAGATAAAAATAATTAGTAGAATTGATTAGGATCCTATTTTAAGGTTCCTGGAGTGTTTCCCATACAGCTACAGTTAAAAACCATTACTTTATACACTGAATATAGTCACATACATTGTGACCCAGTAATTCTATTCTTAAATGTTTACCCTAGTGAAACCTGCACATGTGTACAAGGAGATAGAGAAAATTGTTTTCCTATAGTACTGTTTGTACTAGCAAAAATACGGAAACAACCTAAATGACTAGAATCCCATTGAAAACACACTGCCGTTCAAGGCAGCTCCAACTTCCAGTGACTGGCAGGTTTTTGAGGCTATAAATGTTTATGAAAAGAGACTGCCCACCTTTCTTTCTCAGAGCAACTGGTGGGTTCAAACTACCAACCTTCTAGTTAGCAGCCTGATAAGTTATATGCTAAGCCACCAGGGCTCCTTAAATGTCTATGATAGAATGGACAAATTACAGTCTATTCAATAATAAAATACTGTATCAGAAAATAAGACCTACTCCTATGGGTTTGATTCTGATTCTTAACAACCCTATAGGACAGAATATAATGTCCCAGAAGGGTCTTACTGTTGTTAGGTGTCATCGAGTCGGGTACAACCCATGGCAACCCTATGAACAAAAGATCTGAACCCTGCACCATCCTCACATTTCCTGACACACAAGAGCCCATTCCAGCAGTCACCGTGTCAGTCCACTTGGTTGAGGGTCTTTCTCTCCTTCACCGACCATCTACCCTTCCTACCATCATATCATCCTCCAAGGAATAGCCCCTCCTAGCAACAAAGTATATAAGGCGAAGCCTCATTTTTCTTGCCTCCAAAGAGCACTCCAGCTGCACCCTCTCCAAGACATATCTGTTTGTTCTCCTAGCTGCCCATGAGATAGTTAGTGCTTTTATCCATCACGACAACTCAAAGGCATCAATTCTTCTGTCATTCTTACTCATTGTCCAGCTCTCAGATGCAATTTTTCAGAAAGACTGAATCAGTTGCACCTTAGCCCTCAAACTGATATTATTACTCCTCAATAATTTAGAGAAGTCCCTAACTACAGATTTTCCCAGTAAGGGTCTTGCTAAGGCAATAAATCAACATACACATGGGTGAACATGTGACTGCTTTGGGTGGCAGTTCTGGTTTCTTTAGGGTATATTCCCAGTAGTGGAATTGCTGGGTCAAATGATATTTCTATTTCCAACTTTTTGAGAAAATGCCATACTGCCTTCCATAGTGGTTGCACCATTTTACACTCCCCACCAACAGTGAATAAGGGTTCCAGTTTCTCCGCAACCTTGCCATCATTTGTTGTTTGCTGTTCTGTTAAATTTTACTATTCTTATTGGGGTGAGATAATACCTCATAGTTGTTTTGATTTGCATGTTTCTTAGAGCTAGAGATTTTGAACATTTCTTCATGTGTTTGTTTGTTTGCCATCTGAATGTCTTCTTTGGTGAAGGTCTGTTCATATCCTGTGCCTATTTTTCAGTTGAGTTGTTTATCTTGTTGTGGTGCTCAAGTATTCTATAAATTCTAGATGTACATCCCTTATCAGACATGTCGTTACCAAATATTTTTTCCCTGTGGCTTCCCTTTTTTACTCTGTTAGAGAAGTTTTTGGATGTGCATAGGGATTTGATCTTAAAAGGTTCCATTCATCTATTTTATCCTCTCCTGGTTGTAGGTGCAATATTCTTTTTTTTTTTTTATGTTTCCAGAAATCTTTACAGTGAACCCATTTTAATGCTGAGACTTGCATTTTCACATTTTAATTGTTTTTGAGTGTCATCTCTGTAAGCTAGAAAACAAAATCATACTAAGCTGCCTAGTTTTCTAGTGATTCAGTCTTTATCTTCAGCACAACAGCAAACACAAGGTGCTCACTTGTTTGTATTCTCCATCAGGAAATAGCTAAAAGCCCCATCCTCAGACAGAGGCTACACAGAGAATCGTGAGCTATAGAAAACAGTACAAACACAAAGTGTCTGCTGAGCCACCTTCTGGAAAGCACATCAGAACTGAAGAAATAGTGAACAAAGTATATGTTTACATTCTGAAAATCTGCTCTGGAGTTTGAAAAATGCCCAGTTCTCATTAAGTGTGTGAGTGAAGAGAGGAATAAACAGATGTAGTGACATTATTTGATTTTTACCAGTATAATATCCCGCAAGATTATCTTGTGTTCACCCTTTAAAAAACAAACATACATTTTTCCATTTGTCACAGAACAAATTGACATTCATAGAAGACTGTTTAAAAGAACATTTCACTTTTTCCGCGCTACCCACACAAGGGTCCATACGGCGTTGTTCTGGTTCCCGTTGTAACTTCAAGGGGAAACTTCCACAATGTCCGGAGCCCTTGATGTCCTGCAGATGAAGGAGGAGGATGTCCTCAAATTCCTTGCAGCAGGAACACATTTGGGCGGCACCAACCTTGACTTCCAAATGGAACAGTACATCTACAAAAGGAAAAGTGATGGCATCTATATCATAAACCTGAAGAGGACCTGAGAGAAGCTGCTCTTGGCTGCTCGCGCCATTGTTGCCATTGAAAATCCAGCTGATGTCAGTGTCATTTCCTCCAGAAATACAGTCCAGAGAGCGGTTCTGAAGTTTCTGCTGCTGCTGGGGCCACTCCTATTGGCAGGCGCTTCACTCCTGGAACCTTCACTAACCAGATCCAGGCAGCCTTCCGCGAGCCTCGTCTTCTGGTGGTTACTGATCCCAGGGCTGACCACCAGCCTCTGACAGAAGTATCTTATGTTAACTTGCCCACCATTGCCCTGTGTAACACAGTCTCCTCTGTGATATGTAGACATTGCTATCCCGTGCAACAACAAGGGAGCTCACTCTGTGGGTCTGATGTGGTGGATGCTGGCCCGGGAAGTCCTGCGCATGCGTGGCACGATCTCCCGGGAGCACCCGTGGGAGGTCATGCCCGATCTGTACTGCTACAGAGATCCGGAAGAGATTGAAAAGGAAGAACAGGCTGCTGCTGGAAAGGCTGTGACAAGGAGGAGTTTCAGGGAGAATGGACCGCCCCTGCTCCTGAATTAACTGCTACTCAGCCTGAAGTGACAGACTGGTCCAAAGGCGTCCAGGTGCCCTCTGTGCTGATTCAGCAGTTCCCTACTGAAGACTGGAGTGCTCAGCCTGCAACTGAAGACTGGTCTGCAGCCCCTTCAGCTCAGGCCACTGAGTGGGTGGGTACCACCACGGAATGGTCTTAAACTGTCTTTTAAAAAGTGGAAATAAGGTTGACGGAAAATAAACAATGCGTTTCATAAAAAAAAAAACAAAAAACACATTTCAGTTCGAAGGAGGTTGGGGAGAACACTTTCCACTGCAAAATACTTCTGTGTCTCCTCACACAATTAACATCACTATTCCTCCATGATATAGATTCTTGTGGAAACTTGTTGGAAGGTTTGCCAAAACCAGAAGATGAATAATAAAGTATGTCCCAGTTAGTTAGTTACTTGGAAGCTCAGTTAACAGCTTTGGGATAGACCTATAAAATCTGGCCCCAATCTTGCTAAATATCTTCTAATTACAGAACTCCTTAGTCCTTAGCTTCAGCTCCTGCCCGGTGTCGTAATCTGTACGGGGTCCCATCCATGCCGCTTCGCCTCTAGCCCCGGTGGATGCTGGTCATCTGGGTCTGGAACGTCGTCATAGGAGTATCCCCGGTAACCTTTGGATGCTTAGTAGGTGATGCGCAGGTGCTAGAACACAGGCAGAAAAACCCCAGGATGCCCATGATTAGGACAGGAACGGCCGGTCTGCCCCCTTCTTTCCAGAGCATTTTCTTTGGGCAGTACACTGTCAGGGAGGAGATTTACAGGGTTTTCCCCTCCTGCTTACAATAAGCGAAACACAACAAAGCACCCTTTGCTGATGTAGCCTGCCAGCAGGAGGGAGCCAATGATGATGAGAAAGGTACTGATCAAAAACAGCACCGTGGTAAGGACAATGGCTTTGTCAGGGATCTTAGGTGGGCTTTTCTTTAACTTTAATAAATTGGATCTTATGACATCAGGAAAGAAGGAAGTTCCTCACTAGCTACCTTCTCCTGAAGGTCAATGTAGCCATCGTCTGTGGAGAGTCTTTGGTGCTTGAAGTTAATACTGGGAATCCCAGCAGCCTGATTGGTGCGAGAACTGCATCATAACACGTGGACAGGGCTACAGTCTGAGGCCGTGCCACCCTCCGCCCACCCACCTCGCCCGCCTGGCCACTGAGACACCGGATGCCCCTTAGCTAATTTAGCTAGTTGCCCCTAACCACCCACCCTCGGGCCCAGTCCCGCCCCGCAGTATTTGTTCCCATAGGACTGAGTTACTTCACTCAGCATAATGCTCTCCAGACTCTCCTAAGTTATGTAGTATTTTTCGAAATCATTGTTCATGAGTACTGTGTAGTATTCCATCATGTGAATGTACCACAATTTCTCAATGCATTTTGGTTGTGGTTGAATATTTGGGCTCTTTCCATGTACTTGCAATGGTGAATAATGCTGCTATGACTATTGGTGTACAAATCTCTGTTTGTCTCTCAGTTCTAATTGCCTTGAGGTATATTCCTAGCAGTGGAATACCTGGGTTATATGGTGCTTATATGTTCAGCTTTTTGACAAAACCCCAAATGGTAGCAGTAGATTTTGATAGTGATTATTTTTAATGATCCATATTCATTCCTTCAAGCTTTCACTTAGGCCCTTCTAACTCTTGTACACAGTCCTTTGTAATAACAAATAATATAAGATATGAATATGAGAGCTAGGTAAGATTTACCCAAGCCTGGGATATGAATTGACTGCCTATAAGTGAAAAAGACTTAAAGACATATTTGTTAAAAATAAAGAAAGAAAAAATTATGCCATTAGGCAAGAGATGTACTATACACTTTGCTAGTACCCACCATTCCCTATTTATCCTCTATCAGATTATTAGCTTACTACATCTGACCCTGTGAGCATTTGAATTCTGAAGAGACCTCTGAGCTAGTACCACCTCCCTTGTATTACAGATAAAGAAACTAGCAGAGTCCAGTGTATGTTGAAGAGATCATGGGGATTTTGGTTTTGTTTTCTTCCTGATCACTTCATGCCAGCATACTATTCCTTAATAGAAATGTAAGGATTATTTTTGTATACATTGGTATTGCTAAAAGTGTTTGTGGCTGTACTTCTCCAAAGTAAAAATAAACTTAGATCAGGGAATATGATTTGCTGTAGAACAAATTTACAGTGTTTAGAGGGTTCAGGTAAGCCTTTATAGTCAGAAGCTCAGTAAACATGTTCATGGTCCCTTAACCATTGATTGGCATGGTGACTGCAACAATGAGTTTAAGCACAGAAAAGATTGTTAGGATGGGACAAGATTTTGTTCTGTTGTAGAAAAGGTCTCAACAACTCAGGGCCAACTTGATGGCCCCTGACAGCAACAGCATGTACATGTGAAATCTGGGAAGTTAATAGGGAAAAACAAAGAAGAATTAATGCCTTTGAGTTATGTTAATTTGGATTAACTTTACCTTGAATAACCAAAAGAAGGAACAAATATGTCTTGAGAAAAATACAGCCAGAATGTTTGTGGGGACAAAGATGGTGAAACTGTCTTATGCACTCTGGACATGTTATCAGGAGGAAGCAGTCCCTGAAGGAACCAGTCCCTGGAGGAGGACATTGTATTTGGTAAATTAGTTATTAGTGGAAAAAACAGGAAGACTGTCAACTAAATGGATAGCTTGATTTACTGTCTATAACCGTGAGCTCGAATTTAGCAATGGTTGTGAGGATGACACAGGACTGGGTGGTGTTTGAGACTGTTGTCTATACACAGCATTGCAGGAGTGAGAGCAACTTAACAGCACATAATAAAGAGTGTATGTCTTATTTCAGTTCTGTGTCTGGAATATGTGTTTATAAACACAGTTCAATTAATCTTTTGATCTGTTGTTTGGTATTTGTTTTTAGCACAGTGTTAGAGGTGTTGTATCTATGGCTAATAATGGTCCAAATACCAATGGGTCCCAGTTCTTCATCACCTATGGCAAGCAACCACATTTGGACATGAAGTACACTGTCTTTGGAAAGTGAGTATTTTGCTTATGGTTTTCTTTAGAATTCTGATGCAAGGTACGCATATGAGTGGTTGTGATCACAGCATAACTAATATTGCAGAGACTATAATCTTGGGAAAGCTGTCACTTCTATAACACCCAATTTCCTTATTAAATGGGCTCAACTTTTTTTTTCATTGTTGTTATGCAAATGAACAGTAATCTTTGTTTTCAGTAACAACAGTACTTGGCTACAATTTATAGATCTGACTTAGAGAAAAGGGTATCAAGGACTGCTTTGGTTATTTTATGTCATCCTTTCCCAAACATGGCTTTCCTCACAAACATCTTTTGTCTATCATTAAATTCACTTCATGGTCATAATATAGTCATAATAGCTCAACTTCATTGTCTAAACAGAAAAAAGAACAAAAAGTGCTTGCTACTTGAATAAATATCCTGGAAGACTCAGTACTTGGACATGTAGCCACTTCTTATCTATATAAGCTAGGAAATATTTTTTTAAGTAGGACACATGGCCATAGCAGAAAGCTAGGTTTCTTTGAGTAAGAAGGAGAGAATGGATCTTGCAGTCCTTGGATAGAATTTGCTTGGAATATGCTTGATTGGGATTTGTATTTATGAATCAGAAGATATCATCTGTTCGCTCAATAATATTTATCTTGCTCAATTCATCAGGGCACCACTAGAATTTACTTAACAGGACTGCAAAGTTAGGTCAATTAAAAAAGAAGAGAATCTGTAAGTTGGGGGTTTTTTAATACCATATACATGCATCAAGTTTATAGATTACTAATAATAAATGAAATTAGTTAAATATTTCAGAGTATTTTAATCTTTGTGTGAATTTCCTTCCCTTTTTTCCCCCTCCTTAACCCGTCTTTCAGAATTAGTGGCCAGTAGTTAACCGGACTTACATACTTGGGGCATGCTACCAGGAAGAGCCAGTCCTTGGAAAAGGACATTGTGCTCTGGCAGATGAGAGTCTGTAAAGAGCAAGACCCTCAGTGGGATGGCTTGACACCATGGTTGCGACAGTGGGTTTAAGCACAGCAGACGTTGTGAGGATGACTCAGGACAAGCAGGATGTTCATTTGTTCCTTTAGCTATGTGCAGAGTTGTATATATGTGCATAAAGATTTTTCTGGGGAGATGTTGAAAAGTTTCCCTTACGTTCTAACATGACCCTGTGTCCAGATACTTGACTAAAGTGTCCCTGACTCAATTCTACTTGCCTTTTTTGTCTAAAATCTGTATTTCCCATACCTTCTGTTTCTCTTACTGACCTATAGCTGGAAAAGGCTTTACAATTTAGAATTTAAAGATACTAATTTGTCCTGCATTTGGAGCAAAATCAAGAGGTTTTGATGACTATTGCTGATATCCATTGTTTACTGTATTGTTTTAAAGTTGCTATTTTAGTAGGAAAAACAACAGCTATAGGTGTGTTATCTTTAAAACAATTTATTTTTTCTTTTTGTGTAATAAAATTTAATTGTGATTTTAATGAAAGTTTAAAGAAAAGTTGGATTTTTATTCTTTTACTGTTGCACATTTTCCTCCTCCCTCCTCCTATAGTTCATGAACATTTTCTTTTTTAAAATTTAGTTTTAATTTTTAAATAGAATTTAATATTATACGTAGTATGTTGTTGTCGTTTGCGACTCATAGTGACCCTATGCACAACAGCCCTAAACCCTGCTCTATCCTGCGCCAACCGCACCGCCTCTGACACACCCATCCCAATTACCCCAGTCACCGAATCAATCCATCTCATAGAGGGTTGTTGTTGTTATGTGCCATCGAGTTGCTTGCGACTCATAGTGGCCCTATGTATAAGATCCTTAAACGCCGTTCTATTCTGTGCCAACCTCACCGTCTCAAACACACGCATTCCCACCACTCCAGTCACAGAATTGATCCATCTCATCAAGGGTCTTCCTCTCCTGCGCCGTCCCTCCCCTCTCCCAAACATGATGTCCCTTTCCAAGGACCAGTCCCTCCTTGCAACATGCCCAAAGTATGTCAGACGAACCTTCAGAATCCTTGACTCAAAGGAGCATTCCGGCTTCACCTTCTCCAGGACAATGCTGTTTGTTCTCCTAGCAGTCCATTCAACACTCATTCAACATTCATTCAACACTCTTCTCCAGCACCACAGCTCAAAGGCATTAATTCTCTTTCTATCATCCTTAGTCACTGTCCAGCTCTCTAATGCATAGCATGTAATTGTAAAAACTACATCATTTAATATAAGAATTTTTTTAATTTACTTTTTAAATATTCATTTCTTGTTGCACAATTTTCTCCTTATTTTTCCTTTTATTTATTAATTGTTGTACATTTCCCCCCTCTCCCTCCCCCAGCCTACCCCACAATGCACTCCTTCCAGGTTGTTATCATACATATTATACAAAATCATGTATTTCTTCCAGAGAGTTCTTCTCATCTGTTCTAAGGCAGTTTTATCTTACTGTTTTTAAAAAACAAGTGCTTATAAATCTTGGGAATTTATTTGCTTTATACTAAGAGAATCTAAAAATCCCTATTAGGACGTATTTCTGGAGCTCTGGTGACCTAGTGGCAAGAAGCTGCACTGCAATCCCAAAGGCACGCAGTTCAAATCCACCAGATGCTCTGCTGGAGAAAGAGGGACAATCTCCTGTGCCAGTCGGATCTAATTTGATGGCACACAACAAGTAAAAAAAAACAAGAAAGAAAGAAAATCTGATTCATGTATTTTGCATATATTTTCCAAAACATGTATTTGAAGAATAGCATTCAGTAATTTTTCCTGATAAAAAAATGAAATAGGTTTGTCAAGAGGCTGGGTTAACTGACAATCTTCTATTTTAATTAATACTGCTTGTTATCCTCCAAAAGCAAAAAATAGAAATACGAAACCTTAACCAAAAAAACCATGTAAAATGATCTTCCACTTTAAGACTTGCAGTGTAATACAATACTGATAATAATATTTTCTAGATATTTTTTTCTGCATAGATTCTGTAGTAAAGAAAAAAATTAATTGACCCCATTTACAGCTATTCTAGTTTTCTTTGTGTTGTTGTTTTTTTGGGGGGAGGTTTTTTGTTGGTTTGTTGTTTGTTTCTTTTTAATTTGTTGTATGCTGTCAAATCAGATCTGACTGGCACAGGAGGAGATTGCCCATCCTTCTCCAGCAGAGCATCTGGTGGATTTGAACTGTGCACCTTCGAGATTGCAGGGCAGCTTCTTGCCACTAGGCCACCAGAGCTCCCTCATTTACAGCTATTCTGTAGAATTGTGCGAATGGGGCAGAATACACTGTTTAGTTAATCTGATGTAGTTAATGTGGGCTGCTATTATTGACCAAGAGTATAAAAGTAAATTTTTACTTAAGAATTTTAATCCATATACATGATGAAAAATCCAATCAGTATCTTCTTACACACTTAGCTAAAGAATTAAAAGAACTATAAGACACATTCTAAGACAGGCTATAAGTGCTTGAATATTGTGTTAACATGTAGGGAAATTTTAACACCTTTTTTTCTCTTTCAGGGTAATAGATGGTCTAGAGACCCTAGATGAATTGGAGAAGTTACCAGTAAATGAGAAGACGTATCGACCTCTTAATGATGTACATATTAAGGACATAACTATTCATGCCAATCCATTTGCTCAGTAACTGATAGACACTGGTAGTTATTTGGCAAGCCATTTACAAAATCTTCTGTGGTTTACCCAGTTCTAATTAGGTCAGTGATTACATCATCCTTCTGCTTGTTTACAGCTTAAGGTCTTCGACAAGGTGGTGGTTCCAAGTGGAGATGAACAGCTTTTACCTCCACTCTTAAAAATATATTCTTTATTACAGTTGTTTTCAGTGTATTTGTTCAGTATTTTTAAAAAAATCATTTTTATTACAAATAAACATTTATTTTTAAATGCTGAGCCTCTTCATTAAATCTAGGCATTTTTTAGTATCTTATCATATCTAGTCTATATCCTGAAAGTATTATGTATTCATATTGAAATGGAGTAAATGTGATTACAGAGAAACAAAATGATGGTCTCGATAGGGTAGCTAAATCAAATGCTTTTTTATTTTGTCTTTAGGTGTTTAGTAGAGGCTGTGTGAAGTCAGAGGGTATGGTAATACTCAGAACTACCCAAAGGATTTGCCAAGGGAAGGTTTTCTGATGGCATGTTGAAAACATTACAAAATCAATTTCTGTACAATATCAGTTACATCTATTGTTGTTTAGGAGCATCATTTATTTTATGGCATGTTGTTTGAAAAATAATACAAAATCAAGTTCTGTAGAATATCAGTTATATCTGTTGTTGTCCTAATCTGGATAGATAGATAGATATAGATAGAGGCAAATTAACATCTTCAGTGATGTTTTCTTATCTATAAATAATATTTCTTCATAACACTACTGTGAGAATTTATTTGGTTGAAAAAGTATGGAGATAGAATACATCCCTGACAGATCCCCTTCCCAATTTTGAACCATGCAGTACCTCCTTGCTCGACTGCCTCTTGGTCCAAATATAGGTTTTGCATAAGCACAATCAGATGTTCTGGGATTCCCATTTTTCCCAGAGTCAGCCACAGCTTGTCATGATCCACACAGTCAAAAGCCTTTGCACAGTCAATGAAGCACAGATAGACATTCCTCTGGTACGCTCTGCTTTCTGTCAAGATCCATCTAACTTTAGCTATAATATCCCTAGTACCATGACCTCTTCTAAGCCCAGCCTGCATATCTGGCAGTTCTCTGTTGACGTGTTGCTCCAGCTGTTTTTGGATAATTTTCAGCAGAATCTTGCTTGCAGGTGATATTAATGATATTGTTTGATAATTTCCGCACTCTGTTGGGTCACCTTTCTTTGGAATGGAAATATATTGATTTCTTTCAGTCAGTTGGCCAGTTGGATGTCCTCCAGATTTCTTGGCACAACTTAACACATCCAGGGCAGCATCTGTTTGTTGAAATATGTCAATTGATATGTCATCAACTCCTGGAGCCTTATTTTTGCCAATTCTTTCAGAGCTACTTTTAACTTCCTCCTTCATCACCACAGGCTCTTGCTCATACGTTATTTCATGAAATTCTTCTGTGTCAGCCAATTCCTTCTGGTACAGTGACTATATACTCTTCTGTCTTCTTTTAATGCTTTTTGGATCATTTAACACTCTACCCAAAGCATCCTTAAGTATTGCCACTTGTGGCTTGAATTTGTTTTTCACTCTGACAGAGGAGATTAATCAGAACTAGCTTTGACAAGCACTGTGGCAACTGGACAATTAAAATAGACATTCGGGGGAGGGGGGAGGAAGAAGAACGAACTGGGGAGGAGGGTAGAGAAAACAGTGCAATAATGAAGGAATGAAAACCCAAAATACCCGTAAATGTTCATTAAAACTAATAAAATTTAATAATAATAATAAAAAATCTTGGCCAATAGAATCCAACGATGATGTTGTTGTTTTTATGTGCCATTGAGTCACTTGCGACTCACAGCGACCCTATGTACAACAGCCCTAAACTCTGCTCTGTCCTGTGCCAATTGCACTGTCTCCGATACACCCATCCTGATTACCCCAGTCACTGAATCAATCCACCTCATAGAGGGCCTTCCCCTCCTGCACTGCCCCTCCACCCTCCCAAGCATGATGTCCTTCTCCAAGGACTGGTCCCTCCTTACAACATGTCCAAAGTATGTTAGAGCCTCAGAATCCTTGCCTCCAGGGAGCCACCCAGTTTAACCCTTTCCAGGATGAATCTGTTTGTTTTCCTAGTAGTCCATGGTACTCTCAATACTCTTCTCCAGCACCACAGCTCAAAGGCATCAATTATCCTTCTATCCTCCCTAGTCATTGTCCAGCTCTCTGATTCATAACAAGTGATAGCAAAGATCATGGCCTGTATCAGACACACCTTGGTCTCCAGAGAGACAACATTGCTCTTCAGTACTTTGGAGAGGTGCCTAACAGCAGACTTTGCCATGGCAATATGTCTTTTAATGATACACACACACACAAAAAAAATTTCACCATGACAAGTGGAATTCATAACAGTATGCAAAGATGGTTCAACATAAGAAAAACAATGTAATTCATCACATTAACAAAGCAAAGAACAAGAACCATATGATGCTACCAATTGATGCAGAAAAGGCCTTTGATAAAATCCAACACCCTTTCCTGATTAAAACACTCGATAAAATAGGATTAGAGGGAAATTTCTTCAACATAGTAAAAAGTATATCGGCAAACTTGAGAGCCAACATTGTTCTCAGTGGAAAGAGGTTAAAATCCCCCTTGAGAACAGGAATAGGCAAGGATGCCCACTATCACCTCTCCTATTCAATATGGTATTGGAAGTCTTAGCGATAGCAATAAGGCAAGAGAAGGAAATAAGAAGTATCCAAAATGACAGAGGAGGTAAAATTATATGCAGATGATACGATAGTAAGAAAACCCTAATAACTCAGCAAGAAAATTACTGGACATAGTTGACTAATTCTGCAAAGTGGCAGGATACAAGATCAACATACAAAAATCAATTGGATTTTTTTACAGTGACAAAGAGAATACAGAACTGGAGCTAAGAAAAACAATACCATTCACAATAGCTAATCACAAGTAAATCTAACCAGAAACACAAAGAATCTATTCAAAGAAAATGACAAAATATTACTACCAGAAACCAAGAGAGACCTGGAGAAGTGGAAGAATATCCCTTGCTCATGGATAGGAAGATGAAATATTGTGAAAATGACAATACTACCAAAGGCAATTCCCACATAGAATGCAATCCCAATACAAATACCAATTCCATTCTTCAAGGAGATGGAAAAGACAATCTCCAATTTCATTTAGAATGGAAAGAGACCCCAAATAAGCAAAGCACTCCTTAAAAAGAGAAACAAGGTAGGAGGAATCTGACTACCTGATTTCAGATCCCTCTACACTGCCTTGGTGGTCAAGACAGCATGGTAATGGTACCACAACAGACACATAGATCAGTGGAGTAGAATAGAAAATCCAGGAATCAGCCCATCTACCTATGGTCAATTGATTTTTGATGAAGAGATGAAATCAGTTAAGCGTGGAAATTACAGCCTTTCTAACAAATGGTGCTGGCAAAATTGGACAACTATCTGTAGAAAACTCAAGCAAGATCCACACCTCACTCCATACACAAAAACCAACTCAAAATGGACCACGGACCTAGGACTAAAACCAAGGACTATAAATTTCATTAAAGAAATGCTTGGAAGAACTCTAGAAGTCTTAATCCACAACATAAACAGTTTTCCAAGTATCCTGGAAAAATCTACAACCAGGAGAGGATAGAATAGATGAATGGGACCTTCTAAGAATCAAATTCCTTTGCACATCTATAAACTTCTCCAATAGAGTGAAAAGGGAAGCCACAGTCTGAGAAAATATATTTGGTAATGACATGTCAGATAAGGAACTTATATCTAGAATTTGTAAAATACTTAACCACCACAACAAGAAAAAGGTAAATAACCCAATTAAAAAATGGGCACAGAATATGAACAGAAACTTCACCAAAGAAGACATTCAGATGGCAAAGAAACACATGAAGAAATGGTCAATATCCCTAGTTCTAAAAGAGATGCAAATCAAAACAACTATAATATATCAACTCATCCCAGTAAGAATAGCAAAATTTAACAGAGCAGCAAACAACAAATGCTGGAGAGGTTGCAGAGAATCTGGAACCCTTATTTCACTGTTGGTGGGAGTGTAAAATGGTGCAACCACTGTGGAAGGCTGTATGGCGCTTTCTCAGAAAGTTGCAAATAGAAACACCATTTGACCCAGCAATTCCACTACTGGGAATATACCCCAAAGAAACCAGAACTGCCACCCAAGCAGATATACACACACCCATGTTTATTGTGGCTTTGTTCACAATTAGCAAAGAGTTGGAAATAACCCAAGTGCCCATCAGCAAACGAATGGATAGAGAAGCTGTGGTATATTCACACAATGGAATACTATGCTGCATTGAAAAACAAAGAACTTATGAAATATTATACAAAATGGATGACCCTGGAGGACATTATGCTGAGAGAAATATCTCAGTCACAAAAGGACAAATATTGCCACTGGTGTAGAACGGGACTAACATCAGGGTTGGGAGGAGGATGAAAAAGATAGGATAAGTTATATATACTGCATTGAAACAGATGAGGGAGAGAACTATTTAAAATCTATATATGATTGGTTATTATGATCATGACAAGAGTCCAGAATGAAGGCTGCATAGTGGAGTGGACTCTGGGGGGAGGGGTACTGTATACCAATGAAAGAATTTTTCCTTTACCTTTCAAAGAGAAGAACAAACTGGGAAAGGGGGTGCAGGGAGAAAAATGCAACAATGAATGAATGGAAATCCAAAGTCTCTGTAAATGTTCATTAAAATGAATAATGAAAAATATATTTGCAATTAATAAACCATTGTAAATAATAAACTAAAAAGAGATTAAACAAATTTTTCTTGGAAGAATTACAACCAGACTGTTCTTTAGAGGCAAGCATAGTGAAATGTCTTTCCACATACTTGGGATTTGTTGTCAGGAGGAACCAATCTTTGGGAAAGATAAAGGGTTGGCAAAAGAGGAAGACTCTCAACAAGA